ACGGAACGAACATCACCGAATGCTCCAGCTACGTGTACCTAGGTCGGGAAATCAATATGATGAACGATCTAGCTCCAGAGCTGAGCAGGAGGAAACGAGCGGCTTGGGGAGCGTTAAGAACATCGAGGGAGTAGTGAAGAAGACGAAGAACATCCGGCTCCGTGCCCACCTCTTCGATTCCGCTGTCCTTCCTGCCGGAACTTAGAATATAACTGTATACGGTAAGCCAATTAAGGGGTTACTGTAATGTGCCTCGCCCTCCTCAGACCTGCCTGTGGGGTGACCTCATTTAATTGCTTGCGCTGACCGCTGACCTCTTCCTGACATTTTCGCTCAAACAGCGTATTGATTATCAAATGAACTTTATTAATACACAATATCACAAAACGAAACACAGATACAAGGAATTAATCAACATCCTAAAAATCTATATGGTTTTATTCGTCACATATTTTGACATCTTCTTACAGTACTGCTCCACTTCATTCAGGGGTGGCCCCGTTCTGATAATGTTCTTCGAATCTGGAACAATCAGGTTGAATTATACGAACTGGCATCTTCGTGTTGTTCGAAATGCCTACTTTCCCATTTCCTCTGCAATTTTATCTCTTCTTTCTTGATCACGGCTCCGCAGTACTCTAGCCCGTGTTGGTTCCTGCAATAACGGATCATCGCCCAAATATATTGAACTCATTGATTGATTGATTAATTGATCGATTAATGAGACTTGATCAATTTCTCACCTCTTGAAGACATCTCAGAGCTGCACGCGCTTCATAGTTGAGCTTGCGTAGGGCATCGATGAGCACGCTCAGAGGCGGATGTTCCACATATATGAGAAGCCCGAGCCGCCTGAAAAAGTTCTCACAATGCATTTCTTTTCGATTAATATTTAGTTCATTACCTGTGAAAAGCTTCGGCTAGGTTTGTGGTTCGCAGTTCTTCGAGGTTCCATTTACACCACATATTCTTGAACGGACCCTGAAACCAGGTCGCACGGAGGTAGTTCAGAAACTCTTCGCACTTACGATAAGCCACGTGCTGTCTAGGAATCGGTGGTGTTCGCAGTGCCCTCACTTCAGACATTAGCGGACGCGGAAGAAAGACGATCCCTGAAGCAAAGAGAGTTTGTTTGAGAAAAGTTCTTCCTCAAAAGCTCAGCTACCTTTTATTGTGTTCCACCACTCCACAATTCGCTGATCTCTCTCCTCTCCTTGAATGTATCTTCTTAGACCGAGGGCGTCCCTTTTTCGGTTCCAGGCCTGCGCAAGGTGGAACGCACATCCTTCCACAGAAGGCTCTCGGAAAAATCTTTTTAGCTGCTGTTATAGCTGCTTTTTCAAAATCAAGTATTACACGTTGCGGTACATTATTGTCACTGATGTTACTTTTCAGATGATCGAAAACTTTCATGTAAATCCTCCTCTGTTTTCTTCGACGTGATACAGTAAAGCAGCGGTAACTCAACTCCTTGCGAACACACGCCATGCACACAGTAGAGTTGTGCATGGCATCCCCAACGATTTAGGATGCAGTGAATGCATCCCATCCGCGACGATGCTATGCAGTCCTTGCTCACATGCCTTCTGCAATGCTTGTGATTATCCGAACACTTTTGACATCTCATGTCTTTTCACCTGAATCGTGGCCACAGAATAATATATATGGAATCCGGGCGTCTGATAGTGAAGGAATGTCGAACCGTCGCGCAGAAATGCGATACTCCGCAGGCACATTGTCCATGGTCACAGCTCTATTAGCCCACACGCTCAAACTTCTGAAATCAATCGGGGGAGAATAATAGCACAGATCACTGTGTCGTACTTTGAGATTGCTCGTCGTCTGGCTTGATAGCCTGTGCGCCGAATTGCAGCCCTGACACTGTCTTCCATTTCTTCTAGAATAGGATGAAAATTTATAGAAATCTAAAATAAGTCAAGTAGCGCACGAATACCATTGTCAACTTTGAACGGCGCCGCCACCATATCGAGAAAAACTCTAACTGGCTTCTTCTCTGCGCATGCAGGATCACGCCGGATATTCTTGGAGTTCCTACAAAACGATGGCTTCAGTATGGATATCACCACATATTTTATTTTGCTGTCTTTTCTTACCCGGTATACATGCCTGTTTCCTATTTCCTCGGCATATTGACAGGGACGCATTCGTGGTCAATCTCGCATGGATCGGATAGGAATTCGTTCCCAACAACCTAAACAAGGTTTGAAGAGGGAAATGTTATGGGACTGACTTTACTTGTTCACCTACTTTGATACATTCTCCCATCACATGCTCTCCACGTCTTCTTCTTTCCTTCAAACAGTGGACGCAAGTGTAGTTGGCACAGTTCTTATTCGTGTACACTCGGTAGAACGTAAAAGAACGCGTCGTTCCTGGAATTCTGTAAATCAGCACATCATTCTTTCCTCTCTTTGCTTACCTGCTTTTCACCGAAGTATCTTCGCACAACTTGGTGCACTGTGTTAGGGGAAGTCGGTGCATCGAATGTGCCTGAAAAGAGAGAATCTGAAAATTCGGAATTTACAGGTGCAGTAGCTGAGTAGAGGGAAGGGGCCGGTGTGACACTAGGGGGAGCAGGACTCCGAATTGGAGACAAGGGGGGCTGATGCGAGTTTGGTGAAAGGCGTGGAGGTGCAGGGGAAGTGGACGTGGGGCCTTGAAACGAGTTTGGTGAAAGGCGTGGAGGTGCAGGGGAAGAGGACGTGGGGCCTTGAAACGAGATTGGTGAAAGGCGTGGAGGTGCAGGGGAAGAGGACGTGGGGCCTTGAAACGAGATTGGTGAAAGGCGTGGAGGTGCAGGTGAAGAGGACGTGGGGCCCTGAAAAGGTATGGGTGAGAGCCGCGGAGGAGCCGCAGAAGGGGATGTATGAGGCTGAAGCGCGCCCGATGAAAGCTGCGGAGGTGCTGGAGAGGAGGATATGGCGCGTTGAAACGAGACTGGTGTGAGCTGGGGAGGAACTGAAGAAGAGGTGGTGAGGGGCTGATGCGAGGCCGTTGAAAGTTGTGTAGGAGAAGAGGAAGTGGGATGATGAGTAGAAAGAAACAGTGAAGAGAGTGGCATAGATGAAACTTGAGCTGGTGTTGTAGGAGTTTGAAGTAGTGTTGAATCGACATACAATGAAGGAGCAGCGACATGCGTGGTATGGTAATAAATATTGTTCGATCCGTAACCTAAGAAGTAAGGGGAAGAAGCCACCTGAAACGATGTATCAGTCATGAAATATGAAGGGACATGCGCTTCCATAGAAGTGCCTTGAAGCTCACAAATTGGTGGAACTGTAGTACGACGAAGTGAAGTTGAAGCCTGGAATCATGCTCATGCAAAGACAAACACTCACGAGAACGTGCTTTATGACGCCTTCAAGCACAGGTTTAAATACCCGATTATATTGTCTCTTGACTGGGTGTTAAGGTCCACAAGGGCAAACATTATTGAGGAGCGGTCATGCCCTTTGAACTAATTTTTCCTGTGGGCGATTTCCAAGTTGTTTATTCTGACATCAAAGGAAATAAGAGTTCTGTTTAGCTGTGCAGTGTTGAGAGGTCAGCAGTGAGCGCAAGCAATTAGGCGAGGTCACCCCACAGGCAGGTCTGAGGAGGGCGAGGCACATTACAGTAACCCCTTAATTGGCTTACCGTATACAGTTATATTCTAAGTTCACACACCCTAGGCGGAACCAATCAG